GTAGAAGCCTACTTGTTGATGCATGATCAAATTTCTGTATAGGAGGCATCACACTTGACAACAACTGCAATACCATGAAAATAAATGGTATAAAATACTGACACAGTGGAAACATAAACACATATGCAGTTTAATGTGATCCTTTATTGACAACGTTTCACCCACACAGTGCACTTTTTCAAGTCACAAACAGATCTACCTCAGGGTAGATCTGTTTGTGACTTGAAAAAGCGTACTGTGTGGGCGAAACGTTGTCAATAAAGGATCACATTAAACTGCATATGTGTTTATGTTTTCAACTGCAATACCAGCTGTTCCAGTGAGTTGGTGAACAAAGCCATTAATACAGCCTCTCTTCACTTAACGACAGAGTTCCGTTCCTAAGACCACATTAGTAAACGAATTTGTCACTAAGGGGTAGTGGGTTTGTGTCAACCATCTTTGATATTGTTTTAATGTCACCTTTTGCACCATTTATAACATTTCTGATATATTTTTAAGTATTTATACAGTAATGTACTGTATGTGGTAATAAACAGAATAGAAGAAATCAACTCTAATATACACTATTTAGGTCAGCATACTGGTCAGAAAGCCCATCATAAGTCCGAGTCATCAGTAAACGATTGCGTCGCTAAGTGAGGAGAGGCCGTATGCATAATTTGTGGAAGTGTTGCGTGACTAAGGCATCATTACAATTTAGGACATTACCATGGGCTTCAAGCCAAAACTCTGAACGTGATCTAATAAGGCTCTTAGGGTAAAGTGGGAGATAGTGAATTGGGAATAGGCAATTTCCTATGGAACTGTCACTGCTGTCCTCTTGTCATAGAGCGAGTAATTGGTTCCTTTAAAAGTCAGTACCAGTTTTCTTGATTCATTTGGAAGAGTTCTTACCTGTGAAGAAAGTTTTGAGAGCTGTGCAACAGTTATTAAGTAAGTAAGTTTAATCAGGTATACACAAATACAGTTACATAGATTATCATACATAGCAGTATATGTGTAGAGAACCTGGGATAACCCCAAAAAGTCAGATAGAGTGACTTATTTCCATTGGGGTCCAGTTTATATGGGTTTGCCTGAGCATTTCTTCAAGTGACTCAGTCTCTAATAATTGAGATATCAGGTTCCTTCCTCATGTTTAATATTTATAATTTTGCATGGATGTCCCATGATGAGCACTATCACATCACTGATGTACTCCTAAACAAAATACATCATTTTCTTTATTGTCACATTAACTCCATAACTGGGATAAAATCCTGCCATAACTCAAGTGTTCTTAGTCTTCCTTTGTTTAGTTACAATAAGTTCAAACAGATGACCCTCGAATCCAAGATATTTGTATCTGCTTACGTTTTCAAGCCAAGACTCATTATGCAACTGGATGCTGCAGTTTGTCCCTCCCTGTTAGGAAGGAAAATGCTGGGTGTTTCCTTACACTTATTGTCTCTATTTACCTAGCAGCAAGTATGTATCTGGGTGTTTAGTGGACTGGTGTGGGTGGCATGCTGGGGGGACAAGATTGAAGGATCAAACCATACCACGGGCGGGATTGAACCCGCGGTCAGAGAGTCTCAAAACTCCAGACCGATCGCGTTAGCCACTGGTCCAGTGGCTAACGCAACGGTGTGGAGTTTTGAGACTCTCTGACCGCGGGTTCAATCCCGCCCGTGGTATGGTTTGCTTGCAATCGTGTCATTACGATTTCGTGAGTCTTGAAAGATCACAATGGAAATAAGACAGACAGTTTTTGATGACTCACTGAATTTCTTGGGTTATCCTGGGTGGCTAACCCTCCCTACCCTGGTATCTTGGGTGGCAAACCCTCCCTACCCTGGGTTATCTTGGGTGGCTAACCCTCTCCACCCTGGGTTATCTTGGGTGGCTAACCCTCCCTACCCTAGGCTATCTTGGGTGGCTAACCCCCCCTACCCTGGGTTATCTTGGGTGGCTAACCCCCCCCTACCCTGGGCTATCTTGGGTGGCTAACCCTCCCTGCCCTGGGTTATCCTGGGTGGCTAACCCTCCCTACTCTGGGTTATCCTGGGTGGCTAACCCTCCTTACCCTGGGTTATCTTGGGTGGCTAACCCTCCCTACCCTGGGTTATCCTGAGTGGCTAACCCTCCCTACCCTGGGTTATCCTGAGTGGCTAACCCTCCCTACCCTGGGTTATCCTGAGTGGCTAACCCTCCCTACCCTGGGTTATCCTGAGTGGCTAACCCTCCCTACCCTGGGTTATCCTGAGTGGCTAACCCTCCCTACTCTGGGTTATCCTGAGTGGCTAACCCTCCATACCTATAACCCCCCTGGGTTATCCTGAGTGGCTAACCCTCCCTACCCTGGGTTATCCTGAGTGGCTAACCCTCCCTACCCTGGGTTATCTTGGGTGGCTAACCCTCCCTACCCTGGGTTATCCTGAGTGGCTAACCCTCCCCACCCTGGGGTAAAAATCCCAACAAATCTTATCTTATATTGTCTTAAGAAATAATAATACAATAAACAAACGAAAGCAAACTTTATTTACATAAAGAATAGTACAGTATAACATTGACGTATGATTAATTGACTTATATAAATTACTTTATAGAAACCCCTCTTGTTACACAGAAAATTCGGCAGCATTAAATCAACTTTCACTTGCTGGACAATTGTACGATTAGGCTGAAACAGTTTGTCGAAAACTCGTAATTAGGAGGGGAAACCTTATCAGTTATGAATCATTTATGCCTTGGCAGTGGTCCAGGACGGAGCGAAACGTTGTCGTAATTTTCCTCTCTTAAGTGCGGGTTATAAATAATACATTAGTTAGTCATTAAAGTGTTTCCGTTTTTTGTGACGTTACTTTGTGCCGGAGTGGGAATCTTTTTAGGGGAATCTCAAGCATTTTCTCGGAATTATTATGCATCCATAATAATTCCATCAGCCGACAGGATTCCAATTTTGAACGCTGTGTACAGTTGCGAGGACTAGATTATAGGTGTCTAGTGGCTTGGTAGGCAACTCTCTGGCTTCACATATTGAGTTTTTATAGTTCAGTCCTCCCCTGGGTGGAAACGATGGGCATGTTACCTTAAACCTGCTGTCCCTGTTCGCCTATTAGTAAGTAGGTACCTGGGTGTTAGTTACCTTACACCTGCTGTCCTTGTTCACCTAGCAGCAAGTAGGTACCTGGGTGTTAGCTAGCTGATGTGGGTCGAATCCTGGGGGGACAAAATTAACTTAAGTTATTCGAAATGCTCTGCATAACCAGGGGCTTTCTATATAGTACGTCATTGATGTTAGCTATGGTCTGTATAAGTTGTATCATGTACTTGTAGAAGTCAAGATTATTATTGCTATACACTGAGAGATGTGTATCTTAGTAGAAAGAGTAACATTATCAGAGTCAGGGAAGGAGAGTGCACCAACTAGTACTGGATACACTGCACACAACGAGTCACAAAACCTATTTGCATTCTTCTTTGTATTCACCTATATGTGGTTGCAGGGGTTGAGTCTCAGCTCCTGGACCCGCCTCTCCACTGGCCACTACTGGTTTTGTTCCTGGCTTCCTGAACCTTTTAATATCTGTTCTTAAAGCTATGTATGGATCCTGCCTCCACTACATCACTGTCTAGATAATTCCACTTCCTGACCACTCTAAATCTAAAGAAGTATTTCCTAACATCCCTGTGACTTATTGAAATGAGTTAAATACCTCAAAGCCAATGAGACCAAACAACATAAGAACACAAGAATGGAGGAGCACTGCAGTAGGCTTACTGGCCTTTTCTAGGCAGATGAACCCTCAAGGAAGGTTCCTTGATGTTGGAGGTTTAATTTGGTGAATTGATGTGCTCCAGTTCCCCGATGAGCCTGAATGCTCATACCCACCCCTCCATGCCCAGGCCTGTATATCCTCCGGGTTTACGCTTCCCCTGATTATAATAATACTAATAATAATAATCAGAATGAATTAGACAGTGTTACACAAGGTCTAATTATCAACTTGTCGTTCTCTGAAGCATTGATCACATCTAGGCAGGTCTATCATAACCCACTCTCATGTACCCACACAATCTACCTAAGTTCTCGCCATAGCTTTGAGAAGGACGAGAAGGTGTGACCGCACTACAAAATCTGTCATAAGTTACTGAACAGAGATTATAAGACCACTTGAGATAGTCACTCTGTCTGACTTTGGGTTATCTAGTTCTCTACACATTGGCTTGTGAATTTGAACTGTATTGTTATACCTGAATAATTTACTGACTTACTACTATGACCATTGTTAGTAGCATTTATAATTTGGTAAATTACGACAATATGTAATTTGAGTAGATTATGCATTTGGAGATCACAATGTTGTAATGTTATGTGTGTAATTACCTAGAATCAAGTGACAATATGGTAGTGCAACTTAAGGTCAGGAGCATCTGGGATGGATGGAAAACAATGATATGTGACCCTTGGAAGGGTAGGAGAGCTCCATATCAGTGGATCAAGAGCCCCTCACCGGCACTCAGGGACTTCCCTTGAGTGCCTTGATCCGAGGAAAGAGACGGGTAGCTCCAGTCCCTCAGATCAAAAGCCCTTCAGTAGCATCAAGGAACTTCCTGAATAAACTTACTTACATACTTACTTTACTTACTTACATATTTTACTTACTTTACTTTAAAAATATATTAATAAAAATAAGTTAAACCATTGACTTCATGTTTCTTAAATATGTTCATAATATACTTAATATTATAGTTATTCTTGCAAATTATTATTATAATAACTACTGGTAATACAAAAATTGGTAAATTATAATAAAAATTGCCATTTTTGTCATAAATAGCTGCTTAGAAATTTTGAAAATAGGGTATTTAAAATTGTTTTTTTTTAATATAATAGTGGATGATAATCATACATAATTAAAGATATATATATATTAATATATAAAAGTAGCATAAAATAGAGTAAATTAGAGTAAGAAAGTGAAACAAGAGTAAAATGTTGGTATTAAGTCGAGGTTTTGTGAAGTTGTTGTTGTCACTGGAAGTTGTTGAGTTGATCTGAGTTATTTATTATTTTACCATGACCGTGGAGGCTATGGAAGTGTCTAACACGGACAAGGACAAGGACAAAGATAATGAAGGAGAGAAGAAAGATCCAGACACATTGACCTTAGAAGGTAAAAAAAGGAGGGTTATCGTACGGTTTTAAAGCTTTCACGTTGCTTTCTACAAGGGTGAAGGGCTCTTGATCCAAGGAATTGGAGCAATCCTACATCCACCTTTTAGCTCCTTGGATCAAACCAGAGGGTAATTTTAGGGGGATTTTCTTTTTTTTTTTAACCTCAGACCCCGACGGTTTTAACGCTTTCTTGTTTTGTACAAGGGTGAAGGGCTCTTGTTCCAAGGAATTTTTTGTATTATAACCACATTTTTCACAATTTATTATTAGTAGTAATAGTATGTTAATTTTATTTATATAGCAGCGCTGTACGACCCTTACGGGTTTAGCGCTTATTATTTATTACATAATATGCTAATAATAGTGTAATTATTTTATCGTCAAATATTAAACAAGGTATTGGCAATAAGGTCCCGCTGGTGAGGGGCTCTTGATCTGAGGAATTGGATCTCTGCTCCAGTTTCCTGAATTAAACCTGAATACCCCCCCACCCCCCACAGGTGCTGTATAATCCTACAGGTTTGGAGCTCCACAATTATAATAATTGACCAATAAGATTCATTATTCGTACAATTTAGCGAGAGTTTAATAAGAGATGAATTATAAATCGTTTATGTCCATTATGTCGGTATTTTAAAATATTTCTTTCCGTTATAACAGCCGATTCTTCATTCAGGTGAAAATCTTGTTTAGTTAATATTGACATAACTGTTGTTTCAGCTAATTTTTTCTTTATTTTAGTCTGCATGACCCTTGTTGGTTTAGCGCTTTATTTGATTATAATAATTATAATAATCTTTATTTTTTAGGTACAGTGGCGCCTTGAGTTACGAACTTAACTCGTTCCAGACGGCTGTTCGAGTGCCGATGCCGAACGAATTTGTTCCCATAAGGTATAATGGGAATTAGATTAGTCCATTTCAGACCCCTAAAAAATACACTTACGAAAGCACTTACAAAAATACACTTAAATAATTGTTCGAGTTGGGAGCTGTTCAAAACTCGAGGTACCACTGTACTGGTATACATAAATAGTTACATTATTATACATGGAAACATAAGGATAACTCAAAAAAATTCATAACTTATTTCCATATACTTCTTCTTCTTCTTCTGTTGGGGTTTCAGGGTCACTAGCACGTTAAGAGACCATACAATAAGTGTCAGGGGCCCGAGACTGTTCAACTGCCTCCCAGCATACATAAGGGGGATTACCAACAGACCCCTGGCAGTCTTCAAGCTGGCACTGGACAAGCACCTAAAGTCGGTACCTGACCAGCCAGGCTGTGGCTCGTACGTTGGTTTGCGTGCAGCCAGCAGCAACAGCCTGGTTGATCAGGCTCTGATCCACCAGGAGGCCTGGTCACAGACCGGGCCGCGGGGGCGTTGACCCCCGGAACTCTCTCCAGGTAAACTGACAACATACGCCATATTTCCATATACGTAGAGTGGAACCTGGGTTTTTGTATGCCCTAGTTTGTATAAAACTATAGTTATTCTCTATAAAATGTTAATAAAAAATACATTTTATAGAGAATAACTAGTTTTACATACAAACTAGGGTGTACGAAAACCCAGGTTCCACTGTATAGTAGAACCCCCATATCCATTGAGTTGGTATCCACAGTTTGTTATCCATGGTTTACTGTGGCCCAACCCCTCAAGGGAGGTTCCTTGATGCTGGCGAGGGGCTCTTGATCTAGGGAATTGGATCTGTGCTCCAGTTCCCTGAATTGAGCCTGAATACCTTCCATCCTGCTCCTACATGTGCTGTATAATCTTACGGGTTTAGCGCTCCCCCATGATTAATAATAATAATAATAATAATAATATTGTGGCCCCAAAATACTTATTAATTTTGCATAATACGTAATGACCCCAGAGTTCAAAAGTAGAGAAGCCGGCAGCTCTTCAAAGCCTAAGAGAAGCCATGAAATGCTTCCCATCAGTGAAAAAGTGATAATTCTCCATTTATTGTGCATAATTTATCATTTTAAACTTTATAATAGATTCATATAGGACATATATAAGGTTTATTACTATCCAGGGTTTCAGTATCCAGGTCAGTTCCTTGGAACGTGTCCCCCACAGATACAGGGAACTATGTAATTCTTTTTCATGTATTTTATGTACACGCAGGTACCATATGTTCTGATTTTATTAAAATACTGACTTTTGGGGTTATCGTAGGTAATCTAAACGTGTTACTATGTATGATAATTTGTGTAACTATTTGTGTACCTGTACCTAAATAAACTTACTGCCAAATTTAAGGCATCACAATGACTCAAATGGAAATAAGTCACTTGATTTGACTTTTTTGGGGAAAGGTTATCTTAGGTATGTTAAATATATGTTGTTGTGTAAGAATTGTATTCAGAATTGTGCAAAGCTGTCCTCACTGTGCTAGCCCTTAAGTGTTTTGTATGTTTTCAGACCTGAAAGAGCAGATCCGTTTAGTGGAGCGCAGTATTGTCAGCAAAGAACCTCGTTTTGTCCTGCGTGTTCTTCGTGCATTACCTGCCACAAGAAGAAAATTGACACCTAATGTTCTGCGACGCCTGGTTGCTGTTTATTATGGTCGTCCAGAAAGCAAACAGGAACGTGAAACTATCTTGCAGTTTATTGAGGAGCCCATGGACTTGGATTCTCCTCCACAAGGCATGTGATATTATTTTACGTCATTGTTCCCCTCATGGGTATGTAGTTATCAGTGTTATCCATAGGGGAAAATATTGAAACCAATAAAGCACACTTGTGACTTATTTTTCCGATATATCCTTTTTTTATAGTTCATTTATTTTATTTTTTGTATATTATTTATTTGTATAATATATCTTGAAAGTTTTTGTACATCACTTATTTAAACAACTTTTGTTTTTGTTAATAACTTACAACATTGCCTGTCAATTTTTTAACATTTTAGTATATTACTGATCATTTTTTCTGATATTTATAGTTTTACAACCATTTCTGTTTCTAGACATACTCATACATCTCTCCACTTATCTTAATTTAAACCCTGATGACTTCTGCCAGTGGTCCCTCAACTAACCAGGTAGCACTATGATCTTTGCCTCACAAAGATGCACCCCATTCCAAACTGTTATATTTGCCCTAATAAGAAAAAAATCACAATTTTGACTGTTATAAATTATTTTGTGGGAGTATTTGAGTGGTCAGTAATTTATAGTAGTTGCCCTAGACATCCATCCAGTCCCTACTCTTCTCAGTACACTGCTAAATATGACTGGAGATCCTACCTGCTCTAATTATATCTGTATTGTACTTTGCAGGCGGTACTTGATGCATGTTGAAAAATGCTTGAAAATACTGACACTGTATAAAGACACAGGTGCAGTATAATGTGATCCTTTATTGACAACATTTCACCCACACATTGGGGTCAGTGAAGCCAAATGTGTGGATGAAACAGTCAGTTAATGATTGCATTATGCTGTTGCATGTGTCTTTATCAGGAAAAAATGAAACCTTTCAGTGTTAAGCCACAACATCAAGACAAATGTGTATAAGTTCTAATAATTATTGTTGCATGCCCTCCAGGCACTGTATGATTCATACAGGTTTAGTACTTGCTTACGAAAATAATAATATATATTGTAGGTCCTGTGGTACGCCAGCGTGGTCAGCTGGTGCTGGAGGTGGATGTTTACATTCATCTGCTTGTACTTCTCAGACTCCTTGATGTTAATAACAATGAAGATGCCATTAAATGTTCTGGTATGTAAATGTGATAAGAGGATGACAAGGCTTTCTGTACATGTATTGTTCTACTGAAGCTAAGAAAAGTTTAGCCTCAGGATCACACTTTTTTTTTCCCCTTCGAGGATAAATTGTAATTATTTTTACATGTTCAGGAGGTGTTGAGGAGGAGAAATGGTGTTCTTAGATTACAAATGAAGAAGTTATGAGAGTGACTGAAATAATGAAGGTTGAAAGATGATGGAACAAATATGAATACAGTAATTGTGAGTGTCCTTCTGAAATGAGGATAATCAAACAAGGATATAAATAATGTTTCCATGGAAATGAAGTTGGAACAAGTTGAGTTTTGAAATAGGTTTGAGGGTAAAACAAGGTTAGGTAATCACATTGCTTTTATTGCATGAGAGGTATGGTAGGACTAAGCTGTGTGCCTATATATACCCCTCCTTCTCTCCTTTTCATTAGTGTGAATTTGTAAATGGTCCAAGTTGGGCCGAAAATGTCGTCGTAAGCTCCTCTCTTCTCTTTGCGGGTTATTTGTGTATATACATGTACCCGAGAATTTACTTTGGAGATTAAGGTATTCTTGACAGATAGTATCAAGTTGAATCAAAGACTGGTGCTAATAACCTCTAGTATTCAAAGCACTTAAGGCAGATAGAAGAGAGGTACCGTATTTTTTTTTATTTTTTTTTGTCAACACGCCTACCAAAGCACGGTTACCCAAAAAAGAAAGAAACACTTTCACCATCATTCACACATAGTCACTGTCTTTGCAGAGATGCCCAGATATGAAAGTTTGCTGTATGTGTGGTCAAAAAATTGTATGAACACTAGTGGCGGTGAATGTGGTTCCTTTGAGTCACCGTACATTGATGGAAAATAGTCGCGGTTACAAAAAAATATACACACTTATTTCAAAAGAGAAATGCATTTTCTTGATGCATTCATGGTATACCTTAGATATTATATAATTTCTTCACAACTGAAGGTTGCTTCAGTGGATGTGCTATGATGCTACTGAATGACTCTTGATCCAAGGAATTAGAGCTACCCTTCCCTTTGGAGTGAACCTGACTTCCCTCTATTCTTCAGACACTTGTATAAGCTCTGAGGGTTTAATGCTCTATGACTAATAATTATTCATAACTAATCCATAAATTAGAAGTCAATCTTGAAACAATGTTTGGATTCATCCTGGAATATTGTCACAACCGAAAAAGAAAAAGGACATCTAACGGTTTATCTCAAATTTGTGCGGTTTGAGTTGTTCAGTCAACTGTATTTTGATTTATTCACATAATTAGTTTTTTTGTTGGCATTTCACTTGTGTAAACATTAGTGTTTGTACCTGCAGTATAGAGCATTGATCATCTGGCATCCTCAGGATAACAGGTGCACTCAATTTTCACTGATGCTGAAATATTTTTATTTTTCATGATCTGTTTAAGTAGTGGAATGAACAAAACCTCTGGATAGTGCTGGATACTTCATACCTGACAACTGGATAATTCATCTATACTCCGTGCTCAAGCATGTCAATCATATTTAATAAATGAATACATATGAGCGAGGTGATAGCAAAATTAAGTTTGACAAGATTAAAAATAAATCTTAGATGTTAAAATTTCATCAAATTTTGAGGCTGAATTTGTAGTCAGTCACAGGAATCTGTTATTTTTTCTTTAATGCCACCATACAGATGTTTTATGGAATATTTAGTTTGTCTTAATGCCATTTTAACATAACCAATTTTTTAATTGAATCCTTAGTATTGAATTACTGTATATAGAATTATATATAACTTTGAATAATAATTATAGTATTATATATAAGATGTACTTCTTATGATTTTTTTTTGCCTTTCCTTTATATATGTAATGCACAAAATATTTTTCGTGTGAGTGGAAGTACATAAAATTTATTTTACTGATAATTTTCTCCCATGTATTATAGATTTGCTGATGACAAAAGTAACTTCAGTAAACCGCCGCACTCTTGACCTCTTGGCTGCTCGCTGTTACTTCTATCATTCACAAGTCTACGAAGTCAACAAAAGACTGGATGAAATTAGAGGGTACATAATTATTAGTAGTATTATTAGCATTAGTATTATCATTACAAGGATGTAGGTTTATTTTCTGAGAAGAAACTTGTGTTACAAAGATTGGTTAATATTGGTTATGTCTTGCATGGAAAAGCCCAGAGCTACAAGTACATAAGTATTTCTGACAGTAAAACTACACCTTAAAATTACTGGGCATTGAATTGTAAGATTTTTTGAATGCAAAGGAAACATAGGTAAGTTATCTGAAGATAAGATTACCCTTGTGCTCCCTCCTTCCAGTTTAATATCCAAGCCTTCATTGCTGAGAGTTTTTATTACTCTCATTACCTTAACCCTTTTCTGCATTCACTTTTCTCTTTTTTTACAAACCCTACCAAATTTACCCATCGACCTTTATTATTATTATTATTAGCATCAGAATCATTACCTCAAGGTCATCTCCCACCAAAGCAAGGTGACCTAAAGAAAACTCATTCACCATCATTCATTCAGTCTGTCTTCAGATGTATGCTGACTTCACAATTCAGATTACTCTCCAGTAGCAACATTCCTTCCCTTCAGAGTACTAGCATTGCTCTTCCCACCTCCAAGACTCAAGTCTGGCTAACCAGTTTCCCTGAATCCCTTCATAAGTTACCTCTCACCCTAACACCATGTTCATTAAAAACCCACTTGTCTGGGGTCATTCAGTGCAAGGAATGAGCAAGATGTGATCCTCTTTCAGGGAATTTAACTTTTTCTTTCCATGACAAAAGTCATGAGAAATGTTGACACATTACTGTACTAGCATAGACAGGTACCAGAATTTGATCTCTTCTCTCTGCCTCGGTGGGAGACTTGAATCCTGGATGTGAAAAGTACAGTGCCTGTACACTGAAGGAGGGGTGGAGGTGGGAAGTACAGTGCCTGCACTCTGAAGGAGGGGTGGAGGTAGGAAATGCAGTGCCTGCACTCTGAAGGAGGGGTGAAGGTGGGAAGTGCAGTGCCTGGACTCTGAAGGAGGGGTGGAGGTGGGAAATGCAGTGCCTGCACTCTGAAGAAGGGGTGAGGATGTCACAGTCCAGAGAGTTATCTGAACTGTCATGTCAGCAAAATACAGTGGACCCCTGGTTTACGATCAGCTCCCAATGCGACCAATTATGTAAGTGTATTTATGTAAGTGCGTTTGTACGTGTATGTTTGGGGGTCTGAAATGGACTAATCTAATTCACAATATTCCTTATGGGAACAAATTCAGTCAGTACTGGCACCTGAACATACTTCTGGGATGAAATAATATTGTAAACCGGGGGTCCACTGTAGTTATTGATAGAAGAACAGTGAATGCATTTCATTTATTTTTGGGTCACTTACAGTGGTAAGTGATGGTGTATTATAAGATAATAATATTGAAAACCTCTGTGCCTTTACACAAAAAAGTATTAATTACTTTTTTTTTTTTTTTTTTTTTTTTTTTTTTTTTTTTTTTTTTTTTTTTTTTTTTTTTTTTTTTTTTTTTTTTTTTTTAAGATTTCTGCACCAGCGGTTGTGTCAAGCAACACTTCGTAAAGACCATGAGGGACAAGCTGTTCTTATCAATTGCTTGCTGCGTAACTATCTTCATTATTCTCTCTATGACCAGGCACAGAAACTGATCGTTAAGCTTGAATTTCCTCAGCAGGTTAGTAGGGAATCTTTGTATTTTTGTATTACTGACAAAAGTAGGGTAATATAGAAGAAATAACTGTGGATGGTGGCATGAAAGACCATTTTTGCTTCAGTAACTTTAAAATCTGCCTAAGTGTTTCTTGTATACACTGATAAGTAATGTATACTTTGTATCAAAGTGTTTAAGATTGATCCTAACCAAGGAAGGGAAGCTCCAGTTACTTGAATAGAGAACCCTTAAATAACAAAAAAAGGCACAATACCGTGACTGGAACGATACACAAATAACCCGCACATAAAAGAGAGAAGCTTACGACGATGTTTTGGTCTGACTTGGACCATTTACAAAGTCACACCATTTACAAAGGCTTTGTAAATGGTCCAAGTCGGACCGAAACATCGTCGTCAGCTTCTCTCTTTTATGTGCGGGTTATTTGTGTATAGAGAAGCCTTCACAGGCATCAAGGCACTTCCCCTTGAAGGGGCAGAAAAGGCCAGATATTATAAAGTTTGGGTTAGTCAAGTGTGCCGAAACAAGAACTAGTGATGAGGAGGATGGAGAGAAAAATTGTCTCTTGTACTACCTCTTCAAGGCATGTTTCTCTTGATGCCAGTGAAGAGCCTTTGATCCAAGGAAATTAAAGCTACACTACCTTTCCTTGAAGTAAACCTGTTCATCTTCCAGTCTTTCAGGTGCTGTTAAACCCCTATGGGTTTAGTACTTCCCTGTGACTTAATAATGAACTTATACTGTGTTAATGGTTCAGGATATCACTGACTCCCACAGATATGTACACCATAATGTTTGTATTTCTCATTGTATATACACTTGAGAGTTTACTTTAATCTGTCCTTTAGGGATTAAAGTATTCTTGACCAGTAGTGAACAGGTGACATGCAGCTGTAATGACCCTTGTGGAATGAAATATGGTAAGTTTATTCAGGATCACATTGGAGTTGTAAAACTTACAAAAAATGAATGGAATATCATTGCTAAGCCCACTTAGTCATTTAACACAGTTTCAGACCAAACCTAACTGTATTGAGAAGCACATGCGAACATATGTGTATTTTTTTTTTTTTTTTTTTTTTTTTTCAACAAGTCGGCCGTCTCCCACCGAGGCAGGGTGACCCACCGAGGCAGGGTGACCCAAAAAAAAGAAAGAAAATCCCCAAAAAGAAAATACTTTCATCATCATTCAACACTTTCACCACACTCACACATTATCACTGCTTTTGCAGAGGTGCTCAGAATACAACAGCTTAGAAGCATATACGTATAAAGATACACAACATATCCCTCCAAACTGCCAATATCCCAAACCCCTCCTTTAAAGTGCAGGCATTGTACTTCCCATTTCCAGGACTCAAGTCCGACTATATGAAAATAACCGGTTTCCCTGAATCCCTTCACTAAATATTACCCTGCTCACACTCCAACAGATCGTCAGGTCCCAAGTATCATTCGTCTCCATTCACTCCTATCTAACACGCTCATGTAAATAAAAGTTTGTAAGGTATGCCAGTCATGTTTCATGCTGATGAGAAAAAAAAGACCAACAGTCCTACAACTTGACAACCTGCACTTGAGAGAGAGAGAGAAGGTTAGGATGATGATTTGGTCATCATAAGCTTTACTCTATGTGCCGGTTATTTGTGTATTATTCCATTCACAATATTGTGCCTTTTTATTCTTTAAATCTAGTATGCAAAACATTTAAGATTTCTCTTTTATTCATGGTAGTATGTACCTTCCTGGATGGTTACTGTCTCCCAGCTTGACTGGTGGTAGTCTTGCAGAGAAGACACACAAGCAACGAGGATGGTGGGTTGACAGCCAATGTAATGGAAAGGGAAACCATTGCACATTCGTGATTGTGTTTGCAGTGCTTGCATTGTACTTCCTAACCTCATCTCTTTAAACTTACCAACCAGTTTCACTGATTCTGGCCTCCAGGTCTCTGTCATGTCTTCTGTACTTTTGAAGTTGCATATAGTGTTTCCATGGAGGTAGTACTGTCATGTCAAATAATTGTTGGTCTTTTACTGCTGTATCATGAATGTAATATGACAGGTAAATCTTGAAAATTTCTTACATTCAGTATATACCCTTATCTTTACTTTCCTTTATTCTTCTTAATAGTTCTTAGTCCTGATACTGGACTATGGGAAAGATAATCCTTAGAACCACTAGCAGGTAACCTTTTTATCTAATGGGTACCATCGTGAATCACAAAATCATAACACGATTGCAAACAAATCGTGGAATGGGTGAGGTTTGAACCCATGGCAAGCGAGTCCTAAAACCCCAGACCAGTGCTGACTGAGTGTGTTTAGATACGGTTGCCTTGGTCAGGAGTCCTGGGGAGAATAAGCCATAAATATAATTTGTTTAAATTTTTGAAGTAGGCTAAATTTGTGAGTAAAATTGGTGTTTTTATTTTTTGTATTGAAATAAAACTTCTGCGATGATTTATTACAGGCCAACAACAATGAAGTGGCACGCTACCATTATTATATGGGACGTATTAAGGGAATACAACTGGAGTACTCGGAAGCCCACAAGCACCTGATTCAAGCATTACGCAAGGCTCCACAACAGACAGCTGTTGGTTTCAGGCAATCTGTGCAGAAGTTAGCAGTTGTAGTTGAATTACTACTTGGTGATATTCCTGAAAGACAGGTATGCTGTCATTTAGCAAATTGTCGTTAGTGAAGTAATATCTGATTGCCATAAAGGCAGCAGTACAGTGCTTGATATTATTGTATGCCAGCCCCCTTCCCCTCCAAGACTATGATCACAAAATAGGGAACCATGGACACAAAACTGTCCACCATATAAGCCTAGAAGGAGCTTAGGATGCAGCCTTCTGGAATCCTGAGATGACCCACTATGAGTTGCCAGGCTAGCATAACTTTTTATCTCGCCAAAAAAAAAACCTACCAGGGTAGATATTACTTTGGACATTAAATTATGCAGGGCACCTTCTACCCAGCATGCTTCCATAATGAGCACTAGGATGTACATGCCAAGGACATTGTGGTAATCAAGAGTATTACTGTTAGTTCAGCTGTCAAGTACCATTCGGTGTACTGCATATCAGTACCTTTCCATCCTTTCTTTATGGGAACTTTCAAGGTGTCTTGATGCTGGTGAAGGGCTTTTACTCCAAGGAATTGAAGTGACCCTCTTTAAATCAGCTTTTGCTGTTTCCCAGGCATTTTCACCTTTACAGGCTAGCATTTCCAAGTCATTATATTCTTTCCCTGTAGGTGGCTGTGCCTCATCAGAGTAAGATAAAGAATGATGAATCCTTTCTGTCTGTGCCTCTGTTCTCCAAGTGAGACAAATGTTATTGATGACTGTTAGGGTATGTACATGTCCCTGTCAATGACAGTAATAAACTAGATAACAATTATCCTAAATGGTAAACAGTACTAACAAGTTTATGACTAAGTCATGTAATGCTTAAATATCTTTATTGATGAATCGTTATGCCTTCGCTGCAAACTTAATCAATCTAATAGCGATGAATTACAATCTTGGAGAGAGTAGATGAAATGGAGAGGTAATTTGAGATAATGATTCCCTCAGTGCTGCACATGTCTTACTGACTACCAACTCAGTATAAATTAATGACAATAATTGTAAACCTTTCAGAAAATATAAAGGTACAATATATAACCATATCCCCTCAGAGAAGGTTCCTTGATGCTGGTGAGGGGCTCTTGATCTGGGAAACTTGATTTGTGTTCCAGTTCCCCAAATTGAGTCTGAATACCTTCCATCCTCCCATAGGCACTGTATAATCCCTACAGGTTTAGCGCTTCCCATGATTAGTAAAAAAAAAAAAAAAAAAAAAAAAGTATATAACCAGTAAACTAGAATTTCCTCTCCTCTATCTCTATGTATTCTTGAATTCAGTCCACATATTTCAGAAAGTTAACTCCTGTAGAAACTCTTATTGGAATTATTACAGGAGCTACATTTTACTTTTGAGTGTTCACATATGTGATGTCTTGGAAATATCTTTATATATATTAGTGCATTTATATTTTATGTTTAAACAATTTATAAATTTTTTTACGCAAGTTGATATTGAATAGCTATGCTTGCTTTTATGTATTTAAATGAAATATTATTTTATTTTTTATTATCACACTGGCCGATTCCCACCAAGGCAGGGTGGCCCGAAAAAGAAAAACTTTCATCATCATTCACTCCATCACTGTCTTGCCAGAAGTGTGCTTTACACTACAGTTTTTAAACTGCAACATTAACACCCCTCCTTCAGAGTGCAGGCACTGTACTTCCCATCTCCAGGACTCAAGTCCGACCTGCCGGTTTCCCTGAACCCCTTCATAAATGTTACTTTGCTCACACTCCAACAGCACGTCAAGTATTAAAAACCATTTGTCTCCATTCACTCCTATCAAACACGCTCACGCATGAATGCTGGAAGTCCAAGCCCCTCGCACACAAAACCTCCTTTACCCCCTCCCTCCAACCTTTCCTAGGCCGACCCCTACCCCGCCTTCCTTCCACTACAGACTGATACACTCTTGAAGTCATTCTGTTTCGCTCCATTCTCTCTACATGTCCGAACCACCTCAACAACCCTTCCTCAGCCCTCTGGACAACAGTTTTGGTAATCCCGCACCTCCTCCTAACTTCCAAACTACGAATTCTCTGCATTATATTCACACCACACATTGCTCTCAGACATGACATCTCCACTGCCTCCAGCCTTCTCCTCGCTGCAACATTCATCACCCATGCTTCACACCCATATAAAAGCGTTGGTAAAACTATACTCTCATACATTCCCCTCTTTGCCTCCAAGGACAAAGTTCTTTGTCTCCACAGACTCCTAAGTGCACCACTCACCCTTTTCCCCTCATCAATTCTATGATTCACCTCATCTTTCATAGACCCATCCGCTGACACGTCCACTCCCAAATATCTGAATACATTCACCTCCTCCATACTCTCTCCCTCCAATCTGATATCCAATCTTTCATCACCTAGTCTTTTTGTTATCCTCATAACTTTACTCTTTCCTGTATTCACTTTTAATTTTCTTCTTTTGCATACCCTACCAAATTCATCCACCAATCTCTGCAACTTCTCTTCAGAATCTCCCAAGAGCACAGTGTCATCAGCAAAGAGCAGCTGTGACAACTCCCACTTTATGTGTGATTCTTTATCTTTTAACTCCACACCTCTTGCCAAGACCCTCGCATTTACTTCTCTTACAACCCCATCTATAAATATATTAAACAACCACGGTGACATTACACATCCTTGTCTAAGGCCTACTTTTACTGGGAAATAATTTCCCTCTTTCCTACATATTCTAACTTGAGCCTCACTATCCTCGTAAAAACTCTTCACTGCTTTCAGTAACCTACCTCCTACACCATACACCTGCAACATCTGCCACATTGCCCCCTATCCACCCTGTCATACGCCTTTTCCAAATCCATAAATGCCACAAAGACCTCTTTAGCCTTATCTAAATACTGTTCACTTATATGTTTCATAACCTTACTCTTTCCTGTATTCACCTTTAATTTTCTTCTTTTGCACACCCTACCAAATTCATCCACCAATCTCTGCAGCTTCTCTTCAGAATCTCCCAAGAGCACAGTGTCATCAGCAAAGAGCAGCTGTGACAACTCCCACTTTGTGTGTGATTCTTTATCTTTTAACTCCACGCCTCTTGCCAAGACCCTCGCATTTACTTCTCTTACAACCCCATCTATAAATATATTAAACAACCACGGTGACATCACACATCCTTGTCTAAGGCCTACTTTTACTGGGAAAAAATTTCCCTCTTTCCTACATACTCTAACTTGAGCCTCACTATCCTCGTAAAAACTCTTCACTGCTTTCAGTAACCTACCTCCTACACCATACACTTGCAACATCTGCCACATTGCCCCCCCTATCCACCCTGTCATACGCCTTTTCCAAATCCATAAATGCCACAAAGACCTCTTTAGCCTTATCTAAATACTGTTCACTTATATGTTTCACTGTAAACACCTGGTCCACACACCCCCTACCTTTCCTAAAGCCTCCTTGTTCATCTGCTATCCTATTCTCCGTCTTACTCTTAATTCTTTCAATTATAACTCTACCATACACTTTACCAGGTACACTCAACAGACTTATCCCCCTATAATTTTTGCACTCTCTTTTATCCCCTTTGCCTTTATACAAAGGAACTATGCATGCTCTCTGCCAATCCCTAGGTACCTTACCCTCTTCCATACATTTATTAAATAATTGCACCAACCACTCCAAAACTATATCCCCACCTGCTTTTAACATTTCTATCTTTATCCCATCAATCCCAGCTGCCTTACCCCCTTTCATTTTACCTACTGCCTCACGAACTTCCCCCACACTCACAACTGGCTCTTCCTCACTCCTACAAGATGTTATTCCTCCTTGCCCTATACACGAAATCACAGCTTCCCTATCTTCATCAACATTTAACAATTCCTCAAAATATTCCCTCCATCTTCCCAATACCTCTCTCCATTTAATAACTCTCCTCTCCTATTTTTAACTGACAAATCCATTTGTTCTCTAGGCTTCCTTAACTTGTTAATCTCACTCGAAAACTTTCTTATTTTCAACAAAATTTGTTGATAACATCTCACCCACTCTCTCATTTGCTCTCTTTTTACATTGCTTCACCACTCTCTTAACCTCTCTCTTTTTCTCCATATACTCTTCCCTCCTTGCATCACTTCTACTTTGTAAAAACTTCTCATATGCTAACTTTTTCTCCCTTACTACTCTCTTTACATCATCATTCCACCAATCGCTCCTCTTCCCTCCTGCACCCACTTTCCTGTAACCACAAACTTCTGCTGAACACTCTAACACTACATTTTTAAACCTACCCCATACCTCTTCGACCCCATTGCCTATGCTCTCATTAGCCCATCTATCCTCCAATAGCTGTTTATATCTTACCCTAACTGCCTCCTCTTTTAGTTTATAAACCTTCACCTCTCTCTTCCCTGATGCTTCTATTCTCCTTGTATCCCATCTACCTTTTACTCTCAGTGTAGCTACAACTAGAAAGTGATCTGATATATCTGTGGCCCCTCTATAAACATGTACATCCTGAAGTCTACTCAATAAGATCTCTGGATTAATTCACTATTACCCATAAATTGGAGAGGATGCTTTAGATGCCATTTTGGTTGGTCCTGGACCAGTATCAAGTTGTTACTTGATAATGGTCTAAGATAGACCAAAATATTCTTTAACTTTTCTCTCCCAACTGTTGGTTAGTTATGAATAGATAACGTAGACTAAAATATTAAGAAGCACAAGTTTTGAGTTAATTTATTTTTGTTCAGTTTGACTTCAATGTATTTTATGATCATTTAATTTTTGAGATAACTAACAACAATTTTAATTCTTAGATTTTCCGGCAAGCTATCATGCGTAAAGCCTTGGCTCCGTATCTTCAGCTGACACAGACTGTTAGGCTGGGCAACCTGGTGCACTTTACCAACACACTTAATGAGTACAAGAGTAAGGTGAGTTAATTATTAAATTGATGAAAAACCTGGTATATGATAGAGATACAGACAAGACAAGTTGTGCTTCAAGATACATGAGCCAGTACTTAGAATATATTGTAATGGATACACGAGTAAGAGACATGTGCAACAGTTTGGTAACTTTATTAATGATGTGTTTTGCTTGCTTCTTAAAACAGTTGAAATACAGAGGTGATGTAGATGTAGATATGAGGTGATCAGTCCCTCAGCCTTGAGGAAAAAGTAAGTTTATGGTGGTGTGCCCCTGAGCAGTCAGCTCCATAGCTTCAATCAGAGTGAAGCTGAGGTGCGAGGAAGCAGCCTTTAATACTGCCAAAAGTGACAGTGATAAGAAATACTAAAGTTAAAATTGAAGAATGACAGTATGTATCATAACATTAATGATACATAATACTGGCAAGTTAATGAATTATACATGTGCAAGACTTGTACAGTGGACCCCTGCTTTACGATCACCTCCCAATGCGACCAATTATGTAAGTGCGTTTGTACGTGTATGTTTGGGGGTCTGAAATGGACTAATCTAATTCACAATATTCCTTATGGGAACAAATTCATTCAGTAATGGCACCTGAACATACTTCTGGAATGAAATAATATCGTAAACCGGGGGTCCACTGTATATCTTTATTCTGAAAATGTTGTACAAACCAAGTCAATACAAAAGTATTGAGTCAAATGATATTGTATTGCTCTGATTATGTCAGTGAATGACAAAACATCTTCAGAATAATGATGCAAAGTGATCATTTTATCATCAGGATCATAAGCTCGAGAAAAGAGATGTACTTTAAGCCGACACTTGAAAGAGAGAACTAAGTATCCAATGCTGTAGAGGCATTTCCCAAACAGTACATGTTAATTCACCTTGTCAGTGTCTTTTGAGCATTGTGTATGTTGTGACCAGGTTTCTCCACTTTTGTTTTTACAACATTGAAATTTAGTCCTGTCATCGTGACTAGCTTAGAAAACGTCTATATATTCTTCCACTTTGTTTAAGGTTTGGGTATTCTCCAGTCATGTTCTTTCATGTATAGTGCACATTTAAATTCAATATGAGTGTGAATGTGCAAGTTAATTTGCTAATTAATCTGTTTAAAATATTGTATAAATTCAAAAGTCATTTAACACGGTCGTTATGTTCCTGAAAATGTCGTGTTAGGTAAAACCGCGTTAGATGAACTGAAGAACTTGTGGGAAAAATAGGGTTACATACCTGAGAGCACCAAAAAAGCCAAACAATTTTTTTTAGGCCTCCACATTTTACAAACAATAAAAGTGAATATTTAATTGTAGTTCATTGTTGTGATGTATTATGTTGTTTTTACTGCTTAAGACTACAAATGTAACAGAAATAATAGCATTTCTTACCTTAAATTGTGGGTGCTGGTGTTTGTGGATGATTGTGGAGAGAGTGGAGAGTTATGTTGTGGCCGTACTGGGCTGAGGTGGATGGTAGAGGTTCTGGTACTGAAGTTAGTGGTTGTCCTGGAGTGTCTAACTTTTAAGTCATTCAGTCAGTCAGTCAAGTTATTCAGTAAGTTATTCAGTCAGTCAGTCAAGTTATTCAGTAAGTCATTCAGTAAGTCAGTCAAGTTATTCAGTAAGTCATTCAGTAAGTCAGTCACACAAACTTATGTTTATCTCTTATTTTTTATTATTTATTATTATCACACTGGCCGATTCCCACCAAGGCAGGGTGGCCCGAAAAAGAAAAACTTTCACCATCATTCACTCCATCACTGTCTTGCCAGAAGGGTGCTTTACACTACAGTTTTTAAACTGCAACATTAACACCTCTCCTTCAGAGTGCAGGCACTGTACTTCCCATCTCCAGGACTCAAGTCCGGCCTGCCGGTTTCCCTGAACCCCTTCATAAATGTTACTTTGCTCACACTCCAACAGCACGTCAAGTATTAAAAACCATTTGTCTCCATTCACTCCTATCAAACACGCTCACGCATGCCTGCTGGAAGTCCAAGCCCCTCGCACACAAAACCTCCTTTACCCCTCTCTCCAACCTTTCCTAGGCCGACCCCTACCCCGCCTTCCTTCCACTACAGACTGATACACTCTTGAAGTCATTCTGTTTCGCTCCATTCTCTCTACATGTCCGAACCACCTCAACAACCCTTCCTCAGCCCTCTGGACAACAGTTTTGGTAATCCCGCACCTCCTCCTAACTTCCAAACTACGAATTCTCTGCATTATATTTACACCACACATTGCCCTCAGACATGACATCTCCACTGCCTCCAGCCTTCTCCTCGCTGCAACATTCATCACCCATGCTTCACACCCATATAAGAGCGTTGGTAAAACTATACTCTCATACATTCCCCTCTTTACCTCCAAGGACAAAGTTCTTTGTCTCCACAGACTCCTAAGTGCACCACTCACTCTTTTCCCCTCATCAATTCTATGATTCACCTCATCTCTTATTATGTTTACAAAATAACACTTCATTACAGCCACAGGTTATCTCTTGTTTAATATAAACCATACCACGGGCGGGATTTGAACCCGCGGTCAGAGAGTCTCAAAACTCCAGACACTGGGTGTCATAATTGCTTGGCAGATACAATATATAGTAATTAAAATATCAAAACAATTCACAAACACAGCTAGCTTGTACCAGAGAAGGACAACTGGACTCATATGAAGTACAAATGCTGGGATGGTGGGGTGGTGTCGGGGGGTGGCAGGAGGTCTCCCCGTCTCCCCCGCTGATCTACAACAAGGCTGCCGCTTGAGGAAAAGGGATTTTTTTTTCTTTCCCGCAAACTGAACTATGTTAAATTAATTTTACAACGTGTTACATAAAATTGTGCCACAATTCTTCAGTCGTGCTTTACCTGAATTGTGCCAAATAAACTCGTACTAAATGACAGTCTACTGTAGTTTTTATTTAGAAAAAAAAAAGCTTAGACCTAGTTTGATTAAGCTAATATTGAGTAATTCATATAAATTTTCTGTGTTCTTGCTTTCTAATTAGCTACCAAAGGTATCACTGTTTCATGTTTTTTATTACTTTATTAAATATGAAATAGGTTTATTGAATAGTTTTTTAAATTTTTTCCAGTTCCAACATGACCATACATTTATGCTGATTCTTCGCCTACGCCACAACGTAATCAAGACTGGACTTCGAGCCATCTCTCTCTCATATTCTCGCATCTCTCTGGCTGATGTAGCTTCAAAATTAACCTTGGGGTCACGAGAAGATGCAGAATTCATTGTAGCTAAAGCAATCAGGGATGGAGTGATTGAGGTTAGTAAGTTGGCGCAAATATTTTGTTCTTTCTTTCTTTCAACACACTGGCTGTATCCCACCGAGGCGGGGTGGCCCACCGAGGCGGGGTGGCCCCAAAAGGAAAAACGAAAGTTTCTTCTTTTACATTTAGTAATATATACAGGAGAAGGGGTTACTAGCCCCTTGCTCCCGGCGTTTTAGTCGCCTCTTACAACACGCATGGCGTACGGAGGAAGAATTCTGTTCCACTTCCCCATGGAGATAAGAGGAAATAAAAAAGAACAAGAACTAGAAAGAAAATAGAAGAAAACCCAGAGGGGTGTGTATATATATGCTTGTACATGTATGTGTAGTGTGACCTAAGTGAAAGTAGAAGTAGCAAGACGTACCTGAAATCTTGCATGTTCATGAGACAGAAAAAAGGACACCAGCAATCCTACCATTATGTAAAACAATTACAGGCTTTCGTTTTACACTCACTTGGCTGGACGGTAGTACCTCCCTGGGCAGTTGCTGTCTACCAACCTACTACCTAGGAAATATTTTGTTAGCACAATTATAAACATCTCGCTCTAGTAGTACCTGTGTCATGTAATGCAACAACCTAGACTCAGTTTACATCATTAGTTTTCGACAATTCTGAGAGTTAATTTCTGAACATTCCTTCTGTTAAAAAAATATTTTGTTTTAGGTTATTTTAGAGTAGGTTATATACACCACAATGAAGTACATTAATCAGCCACAACACATCTGGCTGGGCAAGCAGGCCCTTCAGTGTTCAAAGATGAAAGTATATTGTGCATAGCATGAGGATGGGTTGAATGCACACAAGATATTTGTAATACAAACCTGAGCTTAAGAATTCATCCCATCCTAAACGTTGAACACACAATTTGTATGCAGGGTACACACTATGTCACTTTATGATTAAGGCAATCTGTGAGGAGTACATAATCATTCTAAGCAAAGCAACTTACATCACACGTTGTATACCTATATCTGGCCAACTATATTTGGAGAGTGCGTATGGTAAAAAAAAAAATGGGCTCGTTTTCCATGATCAGTTTTTTGGGCACTATGGCAAGTTAACACAGTAATTTTGGTATGTCAGATCAAGAGGATTGTCCAATAGTGATATCTGTAGCACTGTTAAGAGACACTTAAGAGGACTGAAAATGTAAAATATAGTTGGCCCCTGAGCCTCTCACACCCATAAACCTGGTATTTCACAAATGAAAAAAGGCATTTCAATGCATTATAGTGACTGCATTGGTAATTATGAGGGAAGCGAAGATGATTACATTAGAAAATCCCAATTCTAATGTTAGAAAATTTCCTCGTAGTACATATAAGCATGTACATTGTAACAGCCACATACCTCAAGGAGAGTGCCTTAATGCTGATGAGGGCCTTTTGAGCCAAGGAATTGATCACACCTGATCCAAGGCAGTGGAAAAACTTACAGGTAATTGAAGCTTGGAAATAAGAATACAAATTTGGGACTTAACCATAAAAAATTTTTGTACAGTGGACCCCCGGTTAACGATATTTTTTCATTCCAGAAGTATGTTCAGGTGCCAGTACTGACCGAATTTGTTCCCATAAGGAATATTGTGAAGTAGATTAGTCCATTTCAGACCCCCAAACATACACGTACAAACGCACTTACATAAATACACTTACATAATTGGTCGCATTGGGAGGTGATCGTTAAGCGGGGGTCCACTGTATTACTGTAGTTATCTATAGCCTCAGCGTACATTACAGTGCTTCATACATTTCTGGTTTTAGGAAATACTAATTTTTTTTTTTTTTTTTTTTTCAACAAGTCGGCCGTCTCCCACCGAGGCAGGGTGACCCAAAAAAAGAAAGAAAATCCCCAAAAAGAAAATACTTTCATCATCATTCAACACTTTCACCACACTCGCACATTATCACTGTTTTTGCAGAGGTGCTCAGAATACAACAGTCTAGAAGCATACACATATAAAGATACACAACATATCCCTCCAAACTGCCAATATCCCAAACCCCTCCTTTAAAGTGCAGGCATTGTACTTCCCATTTCCAGGACTCAAGTCCGACTATATGAAAATAACCGGTTTCCCTGAATCCCTTCACTAAATATTACCCTGCTCACACTCCAACAGATCGTCAGGTCCCAAGTACCATTCGTCTCCATTCACTCCTATCTAACACGCTTGCTGGAAGTCCAAGCCCCTTGCCCACAAAACCTCCTTTACCCCCTCTCTCCAACCCTTTCGAGGACGACCCCTACCCCGCCTTCCTTCCCCTATAGATTTATATGCTTTCCATGTCATTCTACTTTGATCCATTCTCTCTAAATGACCAAACCACCTCAACAACCCCTCTTCTGCCCTCTGACTAATACTTTTATTAACTCCACACCTTCTCCTAATTTCCACACTCCGAATTTTCTGCATAATACTTACACCACACATTGCCCTTAAACAGGACATCTCCACTGCCTCCAACCGTCTCCTCGCTGCTGCATTTACCACCCAAGCTTCACACCCATATAATAGTGTTGGTACTACTATACTTTCATACATTCCCTTCTTTGCCTCCATAGATAACATTTTTTGACTCCACATATACCTCAATGCACCACTCACCTTTTTTCCCTCATCAATTCTATGATTAACTAATAGCAGTTGTATTTCAGGCTGTGATTGATCATGAGCATGGCTACATGCAGAGCAAGGAGACTGTAGACGTATATTGTACACGCGAGCCACAGTCAGTGTACCATCAGCGCATCTCCTTCTGTCTGGACATCCACAACCAGTCTGTGAAGGCTATGCGGTATCCGCCCAAGTCATATAACAAGGATCTGGAGAGTGCCGAGGTGAGGGATTATTGGAATCTGCAGCTCAAAATACTAGTGTTAGGCTGGTGTAGACTTGCATGAACATAATTTTTTCCTTCTATCCAATATCTAAGGTTTTAATGTTTACAAGAGAATATTAAGGGAATATGGAAAGAGTTTGGTAAAATTGCCATGTGAGAGTAGTTTCAAACTTAAATTTAGCAGATGGACTGAACCTCCGCTGTTCCTTATGCTGAATAACCACAGGAGTTTAGTGATTTGTATGTGATTAAAACTGTGAGTAAGAATAAATTGCACAAAAATGATAGTGTTCAAATAAAATTTGCTAGATTTCAGTGCACAAATATTTGAATAGGTTATTGTGAAAGTAAAATAATTAACTGTTTTGAGTTTTGGTGGAGTGAACTTAAGTTCTTGGTTGTACCCCTTGTCTTTCCTTGCACACAACTGACATTATTAACCCCTCTTAAATCTCAAACCCCTGCATTGACCAGCCAGACTTTACTGTGTCAGTGCTCGGTTCACTTCCCTGTTTTCCAGACTTTAACTGAGGTCATACTTCTAAATGAAGGTGTCTGTATGCAGATTAATTATCATGCAGTCCTATTTTTTTTTATTTTATTATCACACCGGCCGATTCCCACCAAGGCAGGGTGGCCCGAAAAAGAAAAACTTTCACCATCATTCACTCCATCACTGTCTTGCCAGAAGGGTGCTTTACACTACAGTTTTTAAACTGCAACATTAACACCCCTCCTTCAGAGTGCAGGCACTGTACTTCCCATCTCCAGGACTCAAGTCCGGCCTGCCGGTTTCCCTGAATCCCTTCATAAATGTTACTTTGCTCACACTCCAACAGCACGTCAAGTATTAAAAACCATTTGTCTCCATTCACTCCTATCAAACACGCTCACGCATGCCTGCAGTTATTACTGTTTGCAAAGTATGCTGGAGATACCTGTACTGTATTATGTTATGACTTGATTGGAGTGTGGTGGGGACAACAAGGGAACACTATCACCATTCATGGCCCAGACTATTCACCATCTTACCAGAAGATATCAGAAGCATAGCTGGAACAAGGGTAGAAGCCTTCAGGAGGAAACTGGACAAGTATCTTCACCAGGTGCCAAATCAACCAGGTTGTGATGGATATGTGGGGCAGTGGGCCTCCAGCAGCAACAGTTTGGTTGACCAGGCAAGCACCAGATGAGCCTGGCCCATGGCTGGGCTCCAAGAGTAGTGACTTTCAAAACTCATCAAAGGTATACCCTGGAATGCATCCACAGTGTGAGTGAGTCCTGTGAAACTAGACATACAAGAATGATGGAGACTTAGAATAGATGAAATTGTATTACTTAGCCATGTGTATAAAAGCCAATTGTAACAAGATACAAAATTTGTAAGGTAAGGACACAGGTGCAACTAATGTGATATTTTATTGTTGCAATGTTTTGCTTGATGAAGTTCCTGGAGAGTGAAACATTGCAACAATAAAATGTCACATTAGTTGCACTTGTGTCCTTTTACCTAACATGTCGGAAATTCTACCAACATTAATACAAAATTCGTAATTTTTTATTAATGAATTTAAAGCTAATTTTATATTTGCAGGAAAGACGAGAAAGAGAGCAACAAGATTTAGAACTGGCAAAAGAAATGGCAGAAGAAGACGATGACGGTTTTCCATAGAATTAATGGTGTCTATGCAAGTGCTTGGGTAGAAAATTCAAATAGAAAATTTCATGGAAACATTTACGAGTTCAGGAAAGTTTTTCAATTTAGTTTCTTTTTAAAATGTTAATCACAGAATTTGTCTTCATATTCATTGTCTTTAATGTAAAGTATATATTAAAACTTGTGTTAATAAAAGGGTGATTTTTTTTATTTATATACCCTCATAAAATTGTAATCTTAAATATTTTTCATTGCAGACAAGACTGTCTTGTGTAATGCAAATTACTGCATAGATCTTCAATTTTTTTTTAAAGCAAATAGTATTTTTAAAGTTTATGAAGAACTAAATTGTTAAAATTAGTTTATTTCAGCATTCGTGAAAGGATTTTGTGGTGGACATCCCAGCAGTATGTGGGGTGAAGTTGATCAGCTAAGAGAGGAAAAATGTGTGGCAGCTCACACTTTTGTGCTATACCTGCAGTTACCCATAAATTTTCTTGTCTTGCTAGTCTCTTAAGGTTGGTAAAGGAGTGTGATATATGTATTAACAATGTTTGAGATGTGTAGAGGTATTTCTTTGGGTAGTGGAGAGCATTATTTTGATAAGTAACCCACCAGCCCACTGTGTCAAGATGGTGGCTGTGTCCTGGTTGCTTACGAGGACTTTATAGGCCAGAAATAATGAGACCTGAAATTATATGTTTACAGATTGTGACATGTTTTGCCTTGCTATAAGCAGCCTACCACCACATCTGTCAATAGTGGAAGGTGAAACATTATGGGAGATGGGTTTATGGTGCTGTGTGGGGGTTTTGATCATTAGTTAAAAGGAAATTACAAGTGTCAGGATACTTGGTAACATGTGACTTATAGGGTAAATGAGGCGTAGGGTTTATGTCAGTGGTGGAATATATGTGTAATTTAATTGTACATATTGTTAGTTATGTTTGTTGATTATTTGATTAGTTTTGTACTGACATGATTATCCAAGGAATCTGACCTATCCTCTTCCTTGGATCAAACCTGTTTGCCCCTTATTCCATAGATGTTGTATGAATCATATCAGTCCAGCACTCGTGCAAATAATAACTGGTTGTTAATTATACATAATTAATCTTGGATAACCTAACAAGTGTTAGTGTGACTTTTATCCATTTTCTAACGCAAAAATGATTTCATCTGGAAGTACGTACTAAGATTATATTTATAGTAGTGGTACGTTAATACAACACCTGAGAGGTAACCAGGTCTGGTTCAAGGATAGGGATTGCTGGACCGAACGCATCGACTCCAAGCTGAGGGACTGATTACTACATACTCCTGATGTTCATTCTTTTCTGCATTGAACTGAGGAAGCCACTGACTGGTGAAGCATTTCCACAGTCAAGATACCCAAATGTTGCACAATTGTCTGATATAAGGATACGGAGGTTAGCTCATTCCTTAAATCACCAGCTCTTCACTAATATCAAGTCCTTCTCTTCCACCCTTTTGAGGCGAGTATTGGAGTGCCTTGATCCAAGGAATTGGAGATACTTTCCTCGTCCATGGATCAAACCTAACAGAATCCCACACACTTAAGTGGTGTGTGACTAAGGATTTAACACTTCCCTACTGATAGTCCCTTTCCTTGCCTCAGACTATCACCTCTCCCTAGTTATACCTTTAATATCTTAACACCAGCACAGATATCATGCATTCTTTGTGAATATATTAATGACTCCTGTGGGTTCAACACTTCACAATGAATACAAGCATTACCTATATTGATCACCATGAAGGTGCCTTAGTACTGGTGAGAGGCTCTTGATCCAAGGACTCTGACCTATCTTTTCCTTGGATCAAACTTGATTGCCTCTCATTCCTGATGCCCTTCAAAGAAGGTTCCTTGATGCTGGTGAGGGGCTCTTGATCTAGGGAATTGGATCTGTGCTCCAATTCCCTGAGTTAAGCCTGAATGCCTTCCATCCCTTACCTTTACCCCCCCCCCACATGCGTTGCATAATCCTACGGGTTTAGCGCTCCCCCATGATTTTAATCTTGACGCACGATGTCCTCTACGGGTTTAGCGCTTCCCTTGTAATGATAAATCATCAATAAAGCTTTGTAACTCCACTTGTGTCTACATTACCTACCCAACCTGTGGTGTGATTTTAACCCACCTCAAATTTGATCAAAATATTAAGGCTGTAAGTGGAAAAACATCTCTAAAGAAAGGAAATGGGCATGATGGAATTGTTTGATCAGTTGCTTCCTACGAATGTGAAAAGTCCTGCATATATATAGCGTCATTAAAGGTTAGAATACATAGTTGTGATGAGAATGTTGACCTGCTCCCTCAGGGCTTAACATTATTAAATTGGAGGAAATACAGCCTCGTATCAAGCTAAAATATTCAGCGCTGCATGACCCTTCCCCTCAAGGAAGGCTCCTTGACGCTGGTGAGGGGCTCTTGATCTAGGGAATTGGATCTGTGCTCCAGTTCCCTGAATTAAGCCTGAATGCCTTCCATCCCCCCATAGGCGCTGTATAATCCTACGGGTTTAGTGCTTCCCCCTTGATTATAATAATAAAGCATGACCCTTATGAGTTTAGCGCTTAATTATGATTATAATAATCCCCTCAGAGAAGGTTCCTTGATGTTGGTGAGGGGCTCTTGATTTAGGGAATTGGATCTGCTCCAGTTCCCCGAATTAACCCCTCAAGGAAGGTTCCTTGATGTTGGTGAGGGGCTCTTGATTTAGGGAATTGGATCTGTGCTCCAGTTCCCCGAATTAAGCCTGAATGCCTTCCACATCCCCCCCCAGGCGCTGTATAATCCTCCAGGTTTAGCGCTTCCCCCTTGATTATAATAAAAATCCCCGAATTAAGCCTGAATGCCTTCCACATCCCCCCCCAGGCGCTGTATAATCCTCCGGGTTTAGCGCTTCCCCCTTGATTATAATAATAATAATCCAGTTCCCCGAATTAAGCCTGAATGCCTTCCACATCCCACCCAGGCGCTGTATAATCCTCCGGGTTTAGCGCTTCCCCCTTGATTATAATAATCTTGATGCTGGTGAGAGGCTCTTGATCTAGGGAATTGGATCTGTGCTCCAGTTCCTTGAATTGAGTGAATACCTCCCATCACATGTGCTGTATAATCCTACGGGTTTAGCGTATCCCCCCCCCTCAAGGAAGGTTCCTTGATGTTGGTGAGGGGCTCTTGATTTAGGGAATTGGATCTGTGCTCCAGTTCCCCGAATTAAGCCTGAATGCCTTCCACATCCCCCCCCCAGGTGCTGTATAATCCTCCGGGTTTAGCGCTTCCCCCTTGATTATAATAATAATTAGCGTATCCCCTTGATTATTATAACTGTACAAACTGCTGGGGATAAAAATAATGTTTATATAACATAATGTAGTGTAGATGTGACTTTTCAAAGATGTTCAGCCACAGGGACACCATCACCTATAATTTACTCTTATGGTTGGCTTGGCTTAGCGCTTCATTTTGATTATAATAATAATACTCTTATGGTCATCAGTTAAGTAAAACTTAATTATTATAATGTTGAAGGGAAATTAATATTTTTATGAAAATGTACACGCCTGGAAGTTTTATTAAATAAATTGAAAAGATGTATTGATAGAAAACGGGGAGGGAGAGCACGAGAAATGGCGGAGTAATACGTACCGGACCGGGATTTTTTGGAGAATTAATCTCATTTAATCGACGCCGATAGAAACAGTATCGTTAAATACAGTGTCCTATATCGTAAGTGAATTTAACGGGCATCTGGGAGACTGCAAATATAAAGTGAAACTATGAAAATAAGGATGGTATTAATGAAAAACTTGAGCCGTTGCTGGAGAATCTACATTTCCCGCCACACGTATCATTAAATATATAATTACGCCTCCCACTGTCAATTAAATCTGACTACAGATAATGTAACTATTTACTGGACAATAGTAGAGTACCAGTCTGCTGGGGCGGCGTTACAATATATCAAGATCACAATTTGGTAAGTAATATTTAAACGTAATTTTTTTCTAATGTAATTAATGTTTCAAAAAGATGGATCCAATTTCAAAACAATCTGCTTTGAAATTGGGTCCATTTTTGAAACGCCCTGTATATATAATCACTCAAATTACTTAGGTTAAGTAATTGATGTTACTAAATATAATCCACAACTAATTTTAATAAAGACAATGTTACTGCCTGACAATATTTTAAATTTAAAAATTAAAGTCCAGCTGTGTGAGTTTGTGAAAATAAATTTATTCAGGTATACACAAATACATAGATTATCATGCATAATCATACATAGATTATCATGCATAGATTATCATACATAGATTATCATGCATAATCATACATAGATTATCATACATAATCATACATAGATTATCATACATAATCATACATAGATTATCATGCATAATCATACATAGATTATCATACATAATCATACATAGATTATCATACATAATCATACATAGATTATCATGCATAATCATACATAGATTATCATACATAATCATACATAGATTATCATACATAATCATACATAGATTATCATGCATAATCATACATAGATTATCATGCATAATCATACATAGATTATCATACATAATCATACATAGATTATCATGCATAATCATACATAGATTATCATGCATAATCATACATAGATTATCATACATAATCATACATAGATTATCATACATAATCATAGATTATCATACATAATCATACATAGATTATCATACATAATCATACATAGATTATCATACATAGATTATCATACATAGATTATCATACATAGATTATCATACATAGATTATCATACATAGATAATCATACATAGATTATCATACATAATCATAGATTATCATACATAATCATACATAGATTATCATACATAATCATACATAGATTATCATACATAGATTATCATACATAATCATACATAGATTATCATACATAAACATAGATTATCATACATAATCATACATAGATTATCATACATAAACAGATTATCATACATAATCATACATAGATTATCATACATAATCATACATAGATTATCATACATAATCATAGATTATCATACATAATCATACATAGATTATCATACATAAACATAGATTATCATACATAATCATACATAGATTATCATACATAAACATAGATTATCATACATAAT